GGGCTTGAACTCACAAACCATGAGATCACCACCTGAGCTGAAATTAAGAGTTGGCCGCTAACTGAGCCACCCAGGTGCCCCTAAGGTGGTTGTGTTTATGGGAAGGAATCCAGAGGCTGTCTCTTCACCCATCCCCATTTTTAATACTCTAGAAATTTAATGAATAAAGATCATGCACTGCTTTTCTTCCCTCTTGTCACACTGTTCACATCCAGTGTTTTATTTCATCTAGGCATTGGGCTATCCACAGGAAGAGTCTAGGCTTTTAAGCCAGAAAAGACGTTGTTCCAAAGAAGCTAGGGGATAGGCTCTTATCGTCTCTTGGGAGGATCATACTGGGTATAGCATTCTATTCTCATCACCTTAAGTCAATTTAACATTGCACTGACTTCAATTTGGAAACAGTGCTGCAGTGAAGTATCTTCATCTTCTCTCTCTCTTTTTTTTTAACCTTTTCTGGTCATTTTTACAGGCTGTCAGTTCAACAAAAAATATATTTTCTGAATTGTCCAATTTCTTTATTTGCAGAAATAACTGGAATCTCCTTACACACCAGATTTTAAGAGGGCAAAAGAAAGATGAAGAGGCAGCATGTATTGTATGTGTGTGAGCACACATCACATAAATGTGTGTACACACACACACACACACACACACACACAAGTTCAGTCTTCTCGGCACTTTGGGTAGTCGTTCTTATTATGGCGGAAAGACCTCTTGTTTACTTGTTTTGTGAAGAATTTTAGTTGATTAAAAAGTGACGGAAGAAAGAGGCACATGGAGATGGAAAGCAGTAATTCCTGTGGAGCCATTAAGAAATAGACACTTGGGCTGAACACTACTGAAGTAGATTTTTTGTTTAGCATCCACGTTAGCTGATTTCTATTTTCTAGTTTGAGATTTTCGTTAAGATTTTGTATTTAATAATGATTGCTATTTTCATAGGTGCACAATGAGACATGTAGATTTCAGTGTTTGTAATATGAAAAAGTGGGATACACCTAATTGGTCCTGTGTAGAGATGTAGATCAATAAATGGTGGGTTAATAATACATGAACTCCTAGGGGCACCTGAGTGGCTCAGGCGGTTTAAGCATCTGACTTTGGCTCAGGTCATGATCTTGCAGTTCGTGAGTTTGAGCCCCGCACTGGGCTCTATGCTGACAGCTCAGAGACCGTTTCAGATCCTCTGTCTCCCTCTCTCTCTCTGCCCTTCCCCAACTCGTTCTCTCTCTGTCTCTCAAAAATAAATAAACATTAAAAAAAATACATGGAATGCTATATAGCAGTTGATTTAGCAACATGGATAAGCAAAAACAAAAATGATGACAACTTAAAAGTCACAGAATTCTATGTATGTGGTTATGATATCATTCATGTATATTTTTATAAGCCACTGAAGCTGAGAATAAATGATGTTCTAGAAATATACATAGTATAAGAGTGTGAATTGAAATGATACCACAGGAACTAAATAGCATTGGTTATTGGGGAAGAGGGATAGAGCAGCTTATATTTATAAAATTTTATTTCTTTGAAGAAAAAGGTAGAGACAGTAAAAGTGTTAACATCTGTTTAATCTCAGCGGAAGGTTCCTGGGTGTAGTATTTAATGTTCTTTTCTGTATGCTATTAAGTTTTTAATTAAAAAAAGAAATTATTGCTTTGTCCTCTCTTTTCATTGATCTTGCAGTTTTTTACAAACCAAAGGTTTGCTGTATTCTCCGAGCTGAATATATTTCTTGTTCCTCTTCCCTCTGAAATGATCTGTGGGTAAAAATGTAGTAAGTCCAGGCTCTTGCCCCAGAATAGACATTCTATGTCTTCTGAGTTTTTATCATTTTATTCAGCCCTGGAGTTTATTCGACTTTGTCTTAAGAATGAACACTCATTACAATAATGGTTTATGAAAAGTATTGTTCAGCTTTCAGAGGAGGTGAGAGCAAGCTCCAAGTGATCTTGGGAGAGTCCTACTGCTGCAGATTGAGGATGAGATCATCCTGTCCTCCATTCTGTCTTCATCATTTGCTTTCCCTGCTTCCAATAAGCCTCTTTTCATTTCTGCTCTACATTTAGTTGTGAAATCAGAGTCATTACCCCAAAAGGGGGTGGGGGTGAAGTGTCTGTCACTACTTCTTTTGGGTTCATGTATGTGTATTCTGTCTTAGTTTGTGTTCAACCAAATAAGCTTATCTGTGAGAATTACGAGTGTTGCAGAAACTTGAAACCAATAGGCACACTGATAAAACATAATTGACTCTAGCATTTTAGGATGAAAGGACTCCCTGCTTCTCTCTTTCATTCCGTCCTCAGAGAAGGTACCTGAGGAAATGTCAAGGACCGAGGCAGAACAAGAGG